TCCCCCCCCCTCTCTCGCTCCCTTCTCTCCTTCTCTCTCTCCCTCCTCCCTTCTCTCTCTCTCTCCCTTCTCTCGCTCCCTTCTCTCCCTCTCTTCCCTTCTCTCTCTCCCTCCTCCCTTCTCTCTCTCTCCCTCCTCCCTTCTCTCTCCTCCCTTCTCTCGCTCCCTTCTCTCCCTCTCTTCCCTTCTCTCTCTCCCTCCTCCCTTCTCTCTCTCTCTCCTCCCTTCTCTCTCCCTGCTCTCGCCCTCTCCTCCCTTTTTCTTTAATATTTTTTACCTTTGTCTCTTCTCTGCCACCTTCATGACCTCGCAGATCTCGTAATATCTCTCAGACATGTTCTCCATCAGGCCCCAGTCCTCTAAATATGGCAAAGCACGATCGGGGCCGATCACTTTGGCCAGTAGAAGCGCCACATTCTCCACAGTAATGCAGTTTGTCCAATCAGAATGCCCGTTGACGAGGGCATCACCGTTTGTAACACCGTGCTGGTGAGCGCCACAGGTCTGTGCTAAGTGCAGAATACATTTCCACTCGTCCATCGTCTCCGGTAATAGACCTGAGGAATGGAGAAGGAAGTTATGACAGGAAGATGGAATGCAAACACAAAGATTCCAGGATGTATAGTATATGTCTAAAACAAATGTAAATAAATTGCTGTTGACCTTATGTCATTAGAGTATACAGTGCTGACATGGAGGTTGTCGGTAAAAACCACTGTGAGCTGGAGTCCGGGGGACCATTTCTAGTGATCAGAGTGAAGTTTAGGGGACCATTTCTAGTGATCAGAGTGGAGTTCAGGGGACCATTTCTAGTGATCAGAGTGGAGTTCAGGGGACCATTTCTAGTGATCAGAGTGGAGTTCAGGGGACTATTTCTAGTGATCAGAGTGGAGTTCAGGGGGACCATTTCTAGTGATCAGAGTGGAGTTCAGGGGACTATTTCTAGTGATCAGAGTGGAGTTCAGGGGGACCATTTCTAGTGATCAGAGTGGAGTTCAGGGGACCATTTCTAATCTAACTCAAGTTACCGTACATAGGACTAGGACATTTATCTACTAACCATTTTTCTCATCAATCAGACTCATGTCATCCAGATACACGATCGTGGTCAGGGCTTCCAACCGTCTGTCCAGCTGCAAGCACAGTGCGATGTGTCCCTGCCAGTACCTGAAGGAATACATGTAATGAGAGGACATAAAGCTGGATATCTTTCCACAAGAAACTCTGAAGGTAGCAAAACAAAATGGATGAACTTTTTATGACCATTGAAGCTTGGATGCCCAGGTCAGACGTAGCAACTCCAGTATGCGTTGGTTAAGTACCAACCCTGACTGGTTTGCCTACCAAAGTAATTTTTCATTGGTTTTCAAGGGCACAGAAGGTTTTTATCTGGCAGACTGTTTGTTTAAATTGTTTAAATCTATTTTATGGCACGCTGTTATATATATATATATATCTTCCTTGTTTGTATTTTTATTATTAGACTTTTTTACATTGTATTGCCCTTTCACAGCTGGTAGCACTAGGGACAAAATCAGGCTCTGAAATATGCTCACAGTGAATGACTTAGTCCGCCACTGTTCCTTCTCTGTCCAATCAACAGGCTTGGGGGGCAGCGAGTGCCCAGGCTCTGCTGTACTGGAGGGTCTAGGCCCAGGCTCTGCTGTACTGGAGGGTCTAGGCCCAGGCTCTGCTGTACTGGAGGGTCTAGGCCCAGGCTCTGCTGTACTGGAGGGTCTAGGCCCAGGCTCTGCTGTACTGGAGGGTCTAGGCCCAGGCTCTGCTGTACTGGAGGGTCTAGGGCCAGGCTCTGCTGTAATGGAGGGGCTAGGC